GTTTTTTTAACCTTAAACCGCATAAATACATTTCATTACACCAAATACACAAAATAATGTTCTTTTTAGCAATATCATATGACCCCTTTAAAATATATTCAAATAGAAAACAGTTATTTGAAATATATTTCAAAATTGTACTGTTTTGCTGTACTTTGGATTAAATAAATGCAGGCTTAGTGAACAGAAGAGACTTCTTTAAAAAACATAAACAATCTTCCTGTTCAAAAACTTTTGACTGGTAGTGTATAGTCAACTTTAATTTTTCTCTCATTTCTAGCTTTTAATTGGCTTAGAAATCAGATAACTGCTGGACAATAACCAATAATAATGATTTGCTTCTATACTACAAACACTTTTTTTATCACATAATAAGGCACAATAGTTTCAATACTGTAATAAATCCTATGTCAGTTAGCACTGCATTGTTCATATACTTTATTTATTACCTGGAGATGACGTGACAAACACAAATAAACCATATTGTCGCAATCGTATGTTTAATGTCTTCATGTTTCCAAACGTTTCTGTTTTTCTGAAAACAACTGTTTTCATACAGCAATAGCTGGACGCTTTTGTCCATATTAGGAATTTCCTCATAGGACTTTCTGCGTGAGAGTGCCCTCCGGCTTCAATTATGAATGAAACATACACTGCACAGAGTGTTCTGCGCTCCATGATGTTCATCTCGCCTTATTCTGGGTCCGAATAAAACATCAGATCATGCACAGACTATCCTGTCTCTTTGAATTTAAATCTATATTTATTCACAACGGCTCTTGAAAACCTCTATGCGAACACACTTGCCCGAAAAAGTGCGGGGGGCGAATTTACGTGCTATTAAAAGTCCCCTGCATCCCCCGCGTAATCTGAAATTCATGCTTAATATTTTAGAGGATAAACACACCTGAGGTCCTGGTGGGCCAGGTATACCAGGAGGCCCCTTAAAAAAAGAGTAGAGGAGAAAAAAAAACTCAGATTAGGTCCAGTCAACAAACAAATTCTGTGTGCACAAAGAAAATGAATTCTGGCCAATGTAGCATGCAATGACACAATGTGAATATGTGAATAGAATTTGAGGATGACACAATAGTAGTGATGCTTTTGTACACTTACATGATAGCCTTTTGAAATTCCAGCTCCGAGAAACAATCCACTTTCACCAGAACCCTCCAAATCCTGTCGGAATAAAACATCCCCTGTCCTTAGACTAATGAGTATAGAAGCAATACCCACTCAAAAGCTTAAGAAAAATTAATTAAGGCTCCGAATGGATGAAATGGTGTGCTGATCCTGAAAAGTGATGTTAGAAGAGTTTCTACCTCAAAGAATCAATATTATCTCAAAACCAATACAGTTCTCTTTTAAGGGTTTGATTTACTTTTTAAACTAAAAAGATCCACTTTGAAAATTAAAACAATTTCATAACCGAGAATAAATTAGAACACTTGAATTGTCCTGTTCATGTCATGTGAATTTAGCCTGTTTTGTTTGGCCTTCGATGTGGAGCACATTTTCCAATAATCATTCACTAAGTACAGGACCTACAAGCCTGGGCAAACTTGACCTGTATTTATGTATAGGTTTTCAAGAAACATTTGAGATCTGATTATCCATGTACCGTTATGTTTCAGATGAACCATTAGCATAGTCTGTTGTTAACCGTAACGTCCTGCATTTAAATCCCAAAAAGGTGGTTAGTCACCAATGAGTCTCTAAAAACAGAAAAATCCTTTGGTGATATTTTCAGACCTTCAAAGTGTTCATCATGTCATTGCTTAAAGGTCCTGGTGGGCCAGGAGGACCAGGAATGCCAGGTGGTCCAGGTACACCCCTCGGTCCCATAGGACCAATAAGGCCAGGGTCACCATTTTCACCCTTAAGAAGAAGAATGAAACAAAAACAAAAAGCACAGAATTTGCATTAGCAACTTGAACCTGTTGCAAATTCTGTGTGAAATTCCTCATTCGATATTCCTGATTGCATAGATTTCTATTAAAATGCCTGGATTTCGTCCAGGAAAAATTAGTCAAACAATGTTAAATGTGACCCCACCATTATGCATCATAAATGTGCAGTTATAAACATGATACCTTAGGTCCAGAGGGCCCTCTCATTCCTTGTTCACCCTGTGAAAGAAAATCAACATTTTTAAGGATAACAATATTTTTTTTATATGACATTGAGATGGTTCTTTCTTCAAGATGAGGCCATTTTTATACCTTTGCTCCTTTGGGACCCTGTTGTCCAGTTAAGCCATCCGGACCAGGAAGCCCCTTTAAAGGTCAAACACATTAAAACGCCAGCTTATGACATGTTTCAATACCATAATACATCATGAAAGTCAGCATCTATACCAGGGGTAGGCAAGTTCGGTCCTAGAGAGCCGCAGTCCTGCAGAGTTCAGCTCCAACCCTAATCAGACACATCTGAACAAGCTAATCAATGTCTTCAGGATTACTAAGGCTATAGGCAGGTGAGGTTTTTTTCAGGGTTGGAGCTGAACTCTGCAGGACTGCGGCTCTCTAGGACCGAACTTGCCTACCCCTGATCTATACAGACAAACTACTTTAAAGCTGAAGTTTTGCCTCTTTGTCGCCATCTCTGTTTAAAAACATGGAATTGCAGCTGGGTGAGGAATTATCTAGCTTGCATGGGTTGTGAGTGGGCGCAGCTCCAGCAGATGAATCTATGTTCTGAAGAGTATGTGTGACAGTCAGTCACAGCAACGGTGTGGTTTACTGTACTTCGCAATCACAGATTCTAGCCTACGTCTTGGAATATGACCCCAAATAAGAATTTTCACCAGATATTGCCATCTGAACAAGTAACAAGTCTGCCACGTTTGTTCTGACCAACTGAGGAAAAAAGCATTACCATAAATCTCACTACCAATGGTGATTAAATCTAAAGATCGGTTAGCTCATATCACATCAAACCGTTCAGATTATTATTATTGTTATACTTTTAAGGTGATAGTTTTGAACACTGGCTGGTTATGTACTTGCTCAAATATTGATTTTGAATCATGTTTAACCAAAAAAAATTACGGACTGCAGCTTTAAATTAAAAATAGTATACATGTTTTCATTGTGTTGTGATATGTTTATATACAGGGGTTGGACAAAATAATGTGAACATCTGGGAAATAGGCAATATTTCATTATTATGGTGTTGTACCACCATTAGCGAAATAGTCTCTAGCTGAATATTGTCTATAAAAATATCTGCCAGTTGCTTTAGAGATCCTGAAGGATGGAATATGCTTCTCACTTTTCTGTCCTAAACTGCTCACAGTGGATTGATAAAAGTCAAGTCAGGTGATTTGTCTGGCCAGTGCAGATGTTAAAGTTCATCTTGGTAAAAATTTTATGACCTGTTTTTTACAATTTTTTTTCTTTTTTTACATTTTCGCATTGGTATCTGTGATTAAAGTTTTAGCAATTGCACTTTTTCACTTATTTACTGAGGCTTGCTGTCACTTTGGTCTTTTTAAACCAATCCTTCTCAGCGCTTACATGCCCTCATTATTCACTTTCAGTTTTCACCCGCTTTTCTTCTTCACGGATGAAGTCTTGCCATGCTTTGCGCACTGAGTCATAATCAAAAAGACTCTTGCTCTTAAAACACCAAACAAATGGACTGGCTAGGTTACAGACGCTCTTGCTAAACAGGCTTCCATGATTTGTTCTTGTTGAACGTCTGAAAGTCCATTTCACCCATAGCTTTTACTAAACACTACTGAACAAAACTACTAGACTGAGATACAAACTAGAAAAGAAAACAAGGAAAAGAAAAAAAACAAAAGATAATTGCAACATTTGTTTGATTTTTTTTCAACAGAAGACTACACAAATTATATTAACCCCTGTAATAATGGGCATTCACATTATTTTGTCTAATGCCAGTATGTAATTATGTTATGTCTAAACATAATATTAAAATTGCCATTGCTGTTAGTACAAGTAGACAGTTCAAAATAAAAAGACAGATTTTCTCCAACATTCAGAAAAAGGCAGCACAGTTTCAAGCTGTCCTGAAATGCAACCTGTGTGTTCATCACCTTTCAACCTGTACTGCTGTTGTTTTTCTTTCAAACTGCAAAACTGCTACAGTTTTACTGAGAAATAGCTTTGATGTATGTTTGTATACCTCATTATTCCTCTACTATTAAATCTGTACTCCCACATAAACTGATCTAACAACCCTCTATTAGCTATATGTCAGGGGTAAAGTATGATGTAAAGCTATAGCAAGTATTTGACTGGAGAAAATACATGCAAAAATATAACAATGTAAACTAATCCAAATCTTAGTTTGCATTCAGGCAAATGTCGACAAGCAGATATTGTTGGAGAGAAAATGCTGTCTTTTCCAAACTACTGGTTCAGTGACCTGAACGAACCAGGGCAATGCCTGTCCTTTACCAAAACCTGAGTCAATTCCAGAGTCAGTGCCAGACCCACTAAACCAGTCCTCAAATAGCTGGGCAATCGAGAGAAGGAAAGAAGACAACATGAATAAGCTAAAAGCCGTGATACAACCATCACTTAGCAACTTAGAAATCTTAACAAGTGCTTGATGGGGAATGAATAATTTATCTGCTGGTCTGAGTTACTTATCTTTTTACATGGCTTCATTTCAAGTTGTCTGAGTGCATTAGACATCATATGTAATATGAAATGACAGGGCCAACAGGAGAAGCAGATGAGATATGAATTGTAATGAAATGTAAACTGAAGAGAGATCATACTCACACGAAGTCCAGGTTGCCCATCTCTGCCATCCTTGCCAGGGGTGCCTGGTGGTCCAGGCAGCAAAGCCCCTAAGGGGCCATTAGGACCAGGAGGGCCAGGTTTCCCTGGAGGCCCTGGAGGACCAGGTGGACCCTAGAATATGACATTATAATTTATAGTGGCATACATTGACCCTAACCTGAATGTTAAATGTCATTAAATACAGTACTGTAAGAATATTGTCAAAACACAGGCAGATTTACTCACTCTAAGACGTTCTGTATCAATGTCAACATCTTCAAATCCAGAGCCGAGAGCATCAAATCCATACTGTCATTAAAAATGGAGATATGTTCTTAATAAGCAGAATGCACAGCATGGACAGTTTGAGCTGAATTACATTAGTTTCATAACTAACAAATTTTGCAACATTGACACTGTTATTGAACTTAACTGAACCAACATTGAACTCAAGATTAATAACGACACTATTGTCTTTTTAGAGATGCTTTACAGCAGAATCTGAATTTATCTCATATTTGATTAATTTTGCAACATCAGTCCTGGTATTTTCCTGTTTATTACTATAAAGCGGTATTGTATAAACTGCTATATATATAAATGTAACTTGACATCTTAATACATAAGATTTACAGTAGCCATGAAAATCATGGGCATAAAGGAACATTCTTATCTCCAGACCTTGCACGAAAAATCATTACTAAGAGAGGCATATAAGATTCTAAACAATACAACACACATTTTGAATCCAGAATTTGAAAGGTTACCATTGGAAAGGAGATTAAGAAGGTGCAGACTTAAGAGGTTCAGGAATTCATTAATTCCATCAGCAACGAAGTCACTAAATAGTGTTAAGTGATTTTGTATTGAGATATTTTATTGAGATGTATGGTTTTTTTGAACAGAGAAACAGTGCAGTTACAAATCACATGCTTTGGAAACAAATGCATTTTCCCCCAATATGAAATACTTAAAGCCACACAGTTTGTGCAATATACTTACTGGAACTTTAATTGGTTTGGATTGGTTTGGTGGTCCGGGAGGCCCTGGTGGACCAGGCAGACCAACTGCAGAATCACCCTAAAAAGAGTTAAATAGGATGAAATACAAGCTTTTGCTTTTGAGTTTGAAAAAAAGTTCTCGCTGTACTGAGGCATTGTGGATAATCACATGTTTGGGAGACATGTTTGGCACAACTGCATTATCCCTCACCTTTTCTCCTTTGACTCCAGATTCTCCAGGTAATCCTGGAAGTCCTGGAGGTCCTCTCTGCCCCTGCATTAAAGAGACATTGTATTAAGATCAGTGGAGACAGATGTAAACATGAAGCCATGAAATTCTATTACATTCTATCCTCCTTATTTTCAACTTGAAAGTAAATTATTTCTTCTGAATCAGATTTTTTAGCTGCTGTAGGTAAAGGTAAATAACTAGTAGAATAACAAAGTGCAGTAACATGCTACAAACCAGTGTGTTTATGATTGTGATAATTAAAATAATATAACAAATACCTGTTTGAAACATCAAGCAGTATAACAGACTGTTTTTGTACTTCTAAAATAACTGGAAGTGGCTGACTCCGGAAGCACATTCAAGTTAAAAATGGCTAAGGCCTGCTCTTAAAAATAATGTGGATTAAACTCAAATTCTGCAAATTAGACATAAAATGGGGTGTGAATAGTCAGATATTGTGCAATACAAAACTGTGTGAATACAAAAGTAGTGTAAATGAAAAAAAAGGTACAAGGAAGAAAATAAGATTTTTTTTCCACAATTGTTTTCTTACTTTGTTTTTTTTTGTAATACAAATCTAATTTGATTTGGTTCACAAATTGCAGGAATCAAGTCTTACTTTTCTTCAATTTAATGTAAGAAGACCAAAAAGGAACCTGTGTGTTCTATTTGAATGTCATCTGGTCATCTCTGAGCACTGCTAAAGGCATTTTTGGTAGCACTTCATTACAGTCCTGTTCTGCGTGTACATTTAGTCTACATACTATGCACTTTTTATAATAATTACAATAACTGGGTAATAACTGCTGTAGGTAACCCTGAACTTACCCGTAAACCTAACCCTAACCCACAGGAAGTACAGTGTAAGTACAGATAAGTGTAGTACTGTAAAATAAGGTGCAACCTAAATTTTTTGTTCTTATAATTCTAAAGAATCAAATATGTTTCTTATTTTGAGTTCTACCAAAAAGGATTATTAAATTAACAATTGTAATATGTGCACAGCAAACTTTGTGCAACACTGTACTGAATGTACTGTCCTTCATCTGTACACATACCAGTATTTTAAAACTGTCCATATGTAAGCAAATTATTACTCACTGGTTTTCCTTCTTCACCTTTGTGTCCCTGCAAAACATAGGCAAGAGATAAAAAAATTCTAGTTCACTCAATCTATACTGCTAGGGCATGAAATGGTCTATAGTACTATGTTTATAGACAAAAGGTTAGACATAGTCTCAAAAAGAATAAGAAGAAGTAGCACATTCAATATTGTCTCATCATCATGAGGAAATAATCATACGGGTTGTCCATCTTTCCCTGGTCTGCCTTGTCTTCCTGGTGGACCCATTGGACCTTGAGGGCCTCTCTGTCCAGGTTGACCTGAATGTGTGGGTGGGAGAGATGGTCCAGGAGATCCGGGGGGTCCTGGGGGGCCTGCAGGTCCAGGTTCTCCACGCTCCCCTTTTAGCCCCTGGCCAGAACTCTGAGACAGTTCAAGAGATACTATAATTCTATAATTGAGTATGCAGGACTATTACGTCATTTCAACTATCATATACTGTACTACAGAAGTCAGTTAATTCAAAAATAAGTATCCGTTTTTTTTACAACAGGAAATAAAGTGTAATACTTACATCCCCTGTACTCTCCCCTGTTTCATCTGTTTTATAAGTCCCTGAAAGGATTAACAACCAATATTAATAGTAATTTGCTGAAAATGAAACATTCACGAAATAGGTAAAATAAAGCAATTTTTTTTGTCTTAATTAAAGAGTGTCCTCTCACCTCTAAGCAGCCTTTCGTCTATCGGGGTCACATGTCCTGAAAACTCCCCTTCGTCCATGTCAGGTGACACAGTGGGCGGAGCTTGGACAGGATATGTGGGTCTATATGTCTGCAAGCAATAATACATCAACTGATTACATTCTTACAACATATATGTGACCCTGGACCACAAAACCAGTCATAAGGGTCGATTTTTGGAACTTGAGTGATTTATACAAATTGGAAATTGAGATTATACATAATCTGAAAGTTGAATAAATAAGCTTTCCATTGATGTGTGGTTTGTTAGGATAGGACAATATTTGGCCGAAATACAACTATTTGAAAATCTGGAATCTAAGGGTGCAAAAAATCTAAATACTGAGAAAATTGCCTTTAAAGCTGTCCAACTGAAGTTCTTAGCAATGCATATTACAAAATAAAAATTAAGTTTTAATATATTTATGGTAGGAAATTTACAAAATATCTTCATGGAGCATGATCTTTACTTAATATCCTAATGATTTTTTATTTAAAAAGCTTCAGTATTTTATAAAACTTTTTAAAGGTAAAGTGTGTAATTAGTAGTAGCACCACACAGACTAGCAGGTTTCTAAACACTACTATCACTCCTATCTGACCCACGTCTTCCATTGTTAGTTAGAATAAACTTGGTTGAGTTGAGAGTTAACATGTCAGATTGCTCAAACCAGAGGTCCCAACCTTGTTTGTCAACTGAACTCCTATGCCCACATTATTTTCCTTGAAGCGCCCTCTGATATTTAAAGTAACTATTAAATGTAATGCATTTTCACAACAACTTTACACATTGCTATTTGGACTTCATTGCAATAACTTATTTAATCATTTTGATCATATTTATAGTTTTAATTCTGAACACTTGTTACATTAACATGGGACTGTAGAAATTGGTGAATCCCTGGCAGGGAAACAATTTGTCTTGGTTCAGTCCTGTCATGCATTGCAATGCATTACATCACAGCAGCTTTGCAAGTGGTTTTCATGTCTCTTGTGACCAATCTGTATTAACGTCACTCCTTCCATTACATGTTTTAGAGAGCCATGTTTGAATATATATTTGAATGTAAAGCTATCATATTGCTTTAGAGTGTTATATACTGTATATAGTGTATTTTTTTGGAGTTCAGCAACTCCCTTGCCCATTCATTTTCATTAGAAGGAGCATTCTGCAAAAACATTTTTGTGTTCCAAGCAAGAAAGCAAAACATACAGTTCATCTTTGGGTGAGCTATACATTTAGCATTAAAAAAAGGCCTCTCTTCACATTTAAAGTGCACTAGTAAAGTAAAACAGCAATCAGTGGATCAGTGTTGATACATAAATGATGTTCTTTCTGTAACGTGTTTCTGTGAGAGAACAGAAGATTTAAACCCTTTTGATTCCTTTGAATATTGTAACTAAACGCAACTCCCTAGAGGGAGAATGAATCGCTTTGCTTCCTGTTTGGCAAGATAAATACAGCATAATGTCAACAAAGAAATAATTACATTGACTACAAACACACACATAACAAGACAAACAAATATGAAAACGATTTCTTCTTTCATGCTCATCTATTCATTTGTGAATGTTATGCATTTGTGCAAATAATAAAAAAAAAAAGTCAAATTAATTCAAGATCCGAAAGCACTTTATATGAATCCTGTATATATAATACATTATAAAGTTATTCATACACTACCAGTCAAATGTTTGGCATCAGTAAGATTGGTTTATGTTTTAAAACAGTTTATTCCTGTGATGGCATAGTCTTCAGTGTCACATGATCCTTCAGAAATCAATGTAATGTGCTGATTTACTGCTTAAGAAACATTTCTGATTATTATCAATTTTGAAAACAGTTGTGCTGCTTAATTATTGTGGAAACTGTGACTTTTTCAGGATTGTTTGATGAATAACAACATTCAAAAGATTTTTTTTTTGTATCAGTATAACACTTTTGCTCAATTTAATGCATTCTTTCAAAAACAAAAATAAAACAATAATAAATAAATAAATAAATAACACTTCTGAACAGTATTGTAAGCGAATCCTTCTAACACATATAATCTGTAAATGGCATAATGGTCCTGGATAATGTATGGCTTTAATAAATGGCACATTTGAAAACAATTAGACACATTTACATGGCAAAACTATGTAACTGGGTTGATAGATATACATATATATATATTTTTATTTAATTTAATCAGGTTAATAGAAATGTAATGTAATGTGTGCAATGAAGTGCTTCTGTCAAACCTTTTCTTTGTCTTCTCTCACATTTGTCTGACCGAAGATTACTTCATGTCTCCCATGTTCTTCTTCATCATAATCACCATCACCACTTCTGTCCCCGGAGGCCTGCAACTGCAAAACATCACGAGCGTCACCAGCAACTCCACCACAAGAGGGAGTGCCAGCCATACTACTCTATAAAACAGCCAAGGACAGTGTAATAATATTCTGAGACAAATAACATGAACAAGACAGAGAGGATAATGAAAATGCGCTCACGCTGGGGTCATCCTCCTCACACTGCTCTTCCGCTGCCCTAGGGTCCGGTTTTATTACCAGCTGTTGAATAGACCCCTGACAGAATGAGATAGAAAGAGTCAGAGAAAGAAAACGTTTAGTTGTTTAGCCGTTTAAAACAAAACCAAATTGTTTGTGTACAAGACTGCTGTGTATATTTGCAGAATGCCAAGTGGTTAATCACACTGCAATCATGTTCACACACAAGTGCTGCCTGGAGCTGTAAACTACTGTCAGGAGGAGATTTGTTCTGTTATTTTCATTCTAACAGCAGTAGACAGCGTTCAGGATGTGCCAGAAATGCTTAAGGGAAGGTAATACATTTTGTTCAGTTATCAGCAGGCTTTCAGATGAAGCACCTCCTGCTTTACTCATTAGGATTTAATGGGTTCTTTTAGCCACACTTTCATTCAAGTACAGCTGAGATTTATGACGGCCATCAGCTACTTTCATTATTAAAGGCATTAGGAAACATCCTAGTCCAAACAACCATAAAACAATGACAAGCAAAACTCAATTACAACCATTACAGATAACACATATTAACGCAGTAATTTTCATCAGTATTACCTCTGAAGGGAGATATGAGAGAATAAAATCTCAACAACAAAACTGACTTTTTTTGCATTTACAAGAGAATACAACAGTAATTGCAAGTCTGAACCTGGGACCTATGGGGTTTTAGCCAGGTCTATAAGTAGCATTATTTCTCTCTGTATGTGTACAGTACTGTAGGTGAGCGTTTCATTGTTAGTTGCTTCTCTTTCCTTGAAGGAGGCCCATCTAGCATGCCACTTAACACAAAGGATTCAACCTTCCTGAAGTCTTCTTCATGACAACAAGCCTCCCTAAACACAACACACCAACACATGAGACAAAATCTCATGGAATTGGTTTATACTGTATGTGGCAGAGGACATTGTCAGAATCAAAATATAAAAAAAAAAAAATAAAAAAAAATTTGGTATGGTGGGTGTTGTAGAATGTAAATGTGAATAAATTAGGGAACAATTAATTTATAGTCAACTAATGATTTTGTACGGTAATGTTTTATCTTATCATTGTATACAGTCAAAATTATGTATTTTAATATATATATTATTTTAAATGTTTTAAAAACATTGATATGCACCGATAATTGGCTGAAATCGGTTTGTCATAATTATGACTTCTTATCTCACAATTTTTGACATTTTATTTCCTAACTGTGGCTTTCATAACTTAAGTACTAAATCAGACTTTTTATGTCATTTTTTTATTTAATAAATCATGATTTTTATTCTTATGTGTCAGAAATGGGCTTCAATAGAAAATAAAAAAAATACAATATTAAAATTCTGTACTATTTTGTCTAAATAAAATATAACATTCAACAAATATAAAAATAAAACACTAAAATCTAAAAGTGAATTTAGGCATCACAACGTTATAATTTATAGTATGAGAAATTTATATTTAACATAAAATGTTCTAAAGATTAAATTTAACAGTATTATTAATGTTTTTAAACATTCACTTTAAGATTATAGCGAAGGCAATGTAAGCATTAAAAAATGGGAAAATGACAATGCATAATTCAATATCAACTGATGCCAATAAATTGAAATGTCATGTCAATATACCATCCATGTCAGTTTATAATCACAGTAAACATTATCAGAATGAAAGCACACTGCCTTTTTTGAACAGTTTGTACTTGTACACTCTTTCTTTGTTCCAGGTAGCTGTGAATAACCTTTAGCAATTTTTGATCATGGATCAATGATAAATGATAAAACTGTCTTTCAGTGTGAGCCAGTCGATTTACTGAAGGTACATATGCTCAAGACCCCAGGCAATATGGTTTCAGCTCTTCTTTTACATTTCGTTCTGTTTTGTGAGGTGTTTAAACTTTGATAAATGATAAAGCCCATTAGGAAAAGGTTTTTGAGATTTGAAAAAATGTAAAATGGTGACCTACCACAAATCTCTCCAGGCCAGTACTGCCCGCATTTGCCACAAAGATACCTGAGCCTTGCTTAAAGCTAAGGGGCTGCTGGCTTCTCTTCAGGGGGGCGCTGTGGTACTCCTCACAATCCATATAGAGCCGAACCTCCTCGTTCTCGACCGTCAGCGTAAAGCGGTACCACTGCTGTGTCATATCAGGCACTTTAAAGGAAGCCACCTCCATGGTGTCTGCAAGCCCTGGCTCGCTGTAATAAAGTACAATCCTCTGGGTCTTATCCTCCACAGGTGTCAGCGCCAAGCCCAAGTGGACGATCATCTGGGAGGGATCTGTGATGGCGAACAGAACCCCTCCTCGAGAGTTGGAGGGCTTGATGGTGACAATAATGGCAAAGTCCATGAAGAAGGGCTCAGGTACAAAGGATTGGGTCAGTCGACCTACATTAGCATTAGGCCCAAAATTGTAAGCAGGGAAACCCTCGTAGCCAGTGATGAAGGACACAGATGGAGGAAGAGGAACACCAACTAGCTCAGTCAGGACTAGGTGACCCTTGGACCCTCGCTCTGAAAGAAAACATGCAGTAACAGGGGGAATCATTCAAATGATGGACAATATACAGTCCCAAAATCCCTTCCCACATACATGAAAACATGTCTCTCCTAATAATACATGAACACACAGTCTAAAAACTTTTGAACAAGACAAAAGTGTTGCGATGAAGATCAGAAACAGGGTTCTTCACACACAGATTTTTCATGTATATAAAAATTTTATAATACATTGTTTCAATTAATGTTTATTAAAGAAACAGTGCTCCAAAAAGGAGTTCAACTCAAGGCAAACTAATATAATTTGATTTCTTCTGTTGAACACAGCCCATATGAATCATGCTCTGTATTCCAAGACTTCTGAAAAGATAAAAAAAGATTTATGTGAGAAACAAGACAGAAAATTGTGCTTCATTGGTAATTTCTCCCTCCTTACAGTATGTTCAATAATAAAGAACTTAAATGTAAAACTTTATACATTATATGGCTTCAGATGACTTACAATTTTGGAATATGAGATGCTTTCATGATTTTTTTATGGTTTTATTGAACTGAATTTTCACTGAACTGTTTCATTTAATCTTTCAATGAACTGTGACATAATTTTTTATTGAAAAATCAAACAGGTTTGAAAACCATAGGTTTCAGGTTTCATTGAACTGTCGAAAAGTTTCATTGAATGCCTTAAGTATATTTCAATAACAAGGTGTTGCATCATACAGCCTCTTTGCAAAGATTTTGAAAGCACGTTTTACTTCTACAAGAGCAAAAATCTAGGAATTTATCTTAGTATCATAGTATTATTAGGAAGACAGTAAAACATTCCCATTAGTTCATGCCAAAGTCAATGCCAAAGACTCCTCAAATTGACAACATTCAGAAATGTTTGCCGTTTCAATCTGACTCGAGTCATAATGATAATAATGAGGTAAAATGCCAAATAAACTGCTCTACAGGGCTGCAGGGCTTCTAGCTAACTCTCTGTTTGTCTGACAACAAAGATTTTCAAAACTCAGCTAAGCATTCAGTACAGCAGAGAGAAGATTCTCTTCATATCAAATTAATTACAGGTCACGGAAGTTTGTGCTGAAAATACACAGTAGTGCAACGCAACTAACTTTCTTAAAGATTAGAAAAAAAAATTACTACAGTATACTGCAAATCACATTCAAATATTGTGAAGAGACAAAGAGTAAAATTGCGTGTATAATACATCTCTCCAGATGGTTCATTACAAAAATATATTATGAAATCTTCAAAGAAACTAAATACATTACAGTCAATGAGGATGTTTGTGTCTTCACCAATGAAAATGGCTTTTCACCAAAGTTTCATTCTCTCATTCTGACCAACACTCATATCACATTCAAATGCACTGAAGAGACAATTACTTCAGTGACTGCATGAAGTACTGGCATGAATGAGATATTAATTAAGAAACACGTTTGGACCCCAGGGTTAATTTCACATATTTGTGCCTGTAATCAGCAGGTGGACCTGCAATTGATGCTCCATCAGCGACCCCAATTTCCCAAATACCTCCTGCTCCTAATCCTATTATTATAATATCATGTGATAGGGATTTAGTATTATTCTCAGAGAAAAGTGGGCTCACTGAACACCACCAGGCTGATATTTTTCACACAACGGCATAGCACAATTAGAAACCATTCAGGGTTAAGCGGCACTTTAATATCTGCTAGCCTCATGGGTAAACCATAATCTCAGTAATGATCCAAACACACAGCTAAACCCAAATTACATTTGGATAAATTAAAACTCATAAGACGGTAATGATACACATCTTACATATGCAAATCTCTCCTGCTGGAAAAACATATGGCAACACTAATTTCGATAGTCCACTTTAGACATTCTGCTGACAATAAGAAGCTTTGCAACTACATGTCAACTTATTCTACTTACTGATAAAAATGATTATTTGGTGAAGTAAATACTACAGAAAAACAAATGTAATTGCTATATGAAAAAGTTAGTTCAGCCAATAATTAAAAAAAAACAAAAAGTAAATTCTATATTGGTACTCAATTTAAGCTTGTAGAAGTTAAAGCATAAATATAAACGTTATAAAATTAAAGGGGTCATATGATGCGATTTCAATTTTTCTTTTCTCTTTGGAGTGTTACAAGCTCTTGGTGCATAAAGAAGATCTGTAAAGTTGCAAAGACTAAAGTCTCAAATCCAAAGAGATATTCTTTATAAAAGTTAAGAGTCAACCACGCCTACCTAAAACGGCTCGTTCTAACACGCCCCCACATGTCTACGTCACAATGTGGGAAGATTTGCATAATGTTCACACAAAGAAAGAAAGCGTAACTTTTATTCTCGCTGTAGTATTGTTGTTGCCGCCGCCGCCATGTCGTGAAGGCGCTGTGTGTTTCATTGTGAAAGCGAAACTACTTTGTTTGGCCTTCCAAAAGAGGACGATATCCGCTTCGTCATGCCTATAGCTGATCCGTGCTGGCCACTGAGGAAATGCATCAACTTTGCGCTGTGGATCGGCTTTCACCGTGGACAAAGCGGAGTCCAGCCCGGGGTCGTCACATGTGGTTGCCGCAAGCTCGCCTGCCGCTCCTTCGTCGAATACACCGGCCGCCGCTCACTCTAGCCGGCCTCTGCTCACTCAAGCCGGCCGCCGCTCACTCTAGCCCACCTTGTGTGACGCTGT